GAACTCTACCTCAGTACCGTCACCATGCACAGGAGAGAGCTCCACTCTGGTCCCCTGCAGTGTCACCATCATGTCACACATACAAAATGTGTATCTGCTCTTTCATCATCTGAAGAAGAGCAAGCAAGAAAAAGGGAGACGCATTCCCTCCAGAGAACAAAAACAGGACGTGGCTCCCTTTGAGATTGCTGCCGTAGCGGTCTCCTAGACAGCGGGCAGGACCTTATTGGAAGAAAGGCAGAGCTGGTCCCAGCACTGTTTTCATTTTTTGTTGTTGTTTTATTTTATGTGTGTGAATGTTTTGCCTGTGTGTATTTCAGTGTACCACATGTGTACAATGCCCACAGAGGCCAGAAAAGGGTGTTGGATCCCCTGGAATTGGAGTTACAGATGGTTGTTAGCTACCATATGGGTTCTGAGAACTGAACCTGAATCCTTTGCAAAAGCTTTTTTTTTTTTTTTTTGGTCTTTGAGACAGGGTCTCCCTGTAGCCCCAGCTGGCCTGGCCTGGAACTCACTATGTTGATCAGGCTGGTCTTGAACTCACAGAGATCCGCCTGCCTCTGCCTCCCAAGTGCTGGTGCTAAAGGCATGCACCACCACACCCAACACACCAGCCAGTACCCTTAACTGCTGAGCCATCTCTCCAGGCCCTGGTCCTAGCACTCAGGCAGTTAGCTCTCCTATTATTCAAGAGGCTATAATTTAAGAAATCTTACTTAAGAAAAATAAAGAGCTGGGAGATGGCTTAGCCATTAAAGGCTCGCTCACAACCTGAACATCAAGGGGAAAAAACATGACTTTTTACAATCTCTGAGGTGATTTCTTAGCAGTTCATTTACAAAATGATTGGCATAGGGTTTCTTCCATCAAAGAAACTCATCCCTTCAGGGATGAGTCAGCAAGTAAAGTGTTTTACTACACAAGCATGAGGGCCCAAGTTTAGATCCCTAGCACTCACATAAAAAGTAAGATGTGGCAGCACACATCTACAATTCTAGCACTGGGAGTGAGAGACAGGAGGAGCCCTGGGCCTCACTGACCAGCCAGTCTAGCCAAATAGGTGAGCTCCAGGTTCAGTGAGAGACAGTGCCTAAAAAAATAAACTGGAAGGGCCTGGAGAAATGGCTCAGGAGTTAAGAGCACTGGCTGCTCTTGCAGAGGACCCAGGTTCGATTCCCAGCACCCACATGGAAGCTAACAATTGTCTGTAACTCCAGTTTCACGGAATCTGACACCTTCTTCTGACCTCCACGAGCATTGCATGACACAGCTGCACTTACACACATGCAGGAAGTACACTCCTACACGTAAAATAAAAATAAATTTTTTTTACTTGGAAAAAGATAGAGGAAGAAACCCAACATGGACCTCTGGCCTCCGCACACTTGTGCACATACACATACACAAACTCATGCTTACACCATACACACAAACACAAAAGAAAAATAAACTACGACCTTCCAAAATCTGTAAGAAATGATCATTTGCAAAATGGTTGACATAGTGTTTTTTAGAATTTGTCTGAGGGCCAACAAGATGGCTTAGTGTGTAAAAGTGCTTGATGCCAAGCCTGACAGCACAAGTTCAATCCCCAGGACCTACATGGTGGAAGGAGAGAACAGATTCCCTCTAGCAAGTAGTCCTGTGACCATACACATGTGCTGTAGCATGTTACCAAATACATACATACATACACACACACACACACACACACACATACCTAAGTACATAATAAATGTTAAAATAATTTTTTTTGGTCTTTTTGACACAGGGTCTCCCTGTAGACTAAGCTGGCCTTGAACTCACAGAAATCCTCCTGCCTCTGCTTCCTAAGTGCTGGAACTAGGGCATGCACCATCATGCCCGGCTACCAATGTTTAAAAATTTTAAGAGTTTGTCTGATAGACCTAAGAAAGTATTTGTTTATGGCAAGCCAAGCTCTGAGCCTGAATTGTTAGAAGTGACTCTGTTCATTGAAAATCAGTAATGAAGATGAATTGTCTCCGAAAGTGTAATCTCTCATCAGGCATATGTAATTGAATTTTCTAAAAAATTGATTCAAGCATGGATTTTGAGAGGATGTACGTTGCAAAAACAACACAGTGCATTTCAGGTAATCCCAACTGGAGCTTTTTCTCTTGAGCATTTCGGTAAATTCCTTGGGAACCGAGATGTTTACCTCATGTCCATATCCGTTTATAGTATATGTGTATATTTCAGGATTTAGAGAGATTTTCCTTCAGAGGCTAGGGAGGTACCTCAATTGGTAGAATACTTGCCTAGCCCGCACAAAGCACCAACACTATATAAACTGGATGCACTGGTACATGCCTATAATTTCAGCACGTGAAGGCAGGAGGGTTAGAAGTGTGCATGAAGCCCATAATCCCAGCATGTGAGCTGTGAAGACAGGAGGGTTAGAAGTTCAAGGTCATCCTTGGGTACACAGAGTTTGAAGCCAACCTGGGCTACATAAGACCCTATCTCAAAAAGAAAAAAAAAAAATTAGAAATGTATCTTTTTAGTGTTTTTAAATATAGATGGTGCTTTTCTGACTAAAATGCTAATCATTTAACAATATGTCAAGGTCGCCTTTGTTCTTAAAATTAAATATTATTCTACCTCATTTTTTGTGATTAAATAGTGCTATCAATCCCTTGAGTTATTTTCAATTTTTCATTATTATAAACAAGGCACTAATGATTATCTTTGTTGCTAAATATTTTTTCCCACCCATAAAATTGATCTGTCTTATTTGCAAGTCCATAGCTGCCAGTTTTAAGTCCCTCCCTTCACACTGAGCTAATTAAAAGTAAGAATGATTTCTGATGGGATTCACTGCGGGGGCGGGGGGACCCTGAAGTTTCCTAATGACATGTGCACAAAGGAACTTTTTTAAATTTTAAACTCTTAGTCAAAGGTGGCCTTAGTGTTCCTTCCAGATGTTTGTGTTTGTGTTTAAGAAATGTGGATAATCACTCATTGGAATTGTGGTATTGTGGAATGGTTATTATGAATTAAGATGCATCTGTTTCATCCTAAAGCAGCATTCCTTTACTGCTTCTCAGTAACATATTTTCTAAAAGAAAAGCATGCTCCTTGCTTGCCCAGCCTGTCGCTTGGCCTTCTTGATACTTCCATTGCTTGTGGACAGCATTTTTGATGGATGATTTCAGGGTGGGAGGGGCATCATCAGTTCAATAAAATAGCCCAGGTCTAGATTTGGAGCCATGCTCCCTCTTGCCCCAGACCACACTGAATTAAATCATGTGCTCTGGCAGGTCTGCCCTTTTGGAAGCAAAGAGAACTTCATGTGACACATGGATTGATATAAAAAGACACCAAGCCACATGATCCAGAAAATACTTAAGGAGACATTCTAACTGGGAATACACTGCAAATCCCCCACTAAGCCAGTTAGTGATCTGGGCAATAGATGAAACTGGTTTTCAGCATACCTTCTTCATTGATAAAGAGGCACGGAGTGAAATTTCGCCAAGACAGCGGTAGAGGATTAACCATCTGGGAGAACTGCTGATGAAAAATATTAGCGTGAAACCAGGTGTGGTGGCGCACATCTGTAGTCCCAGTACTTGGGAGGCAGAGGCAGGCGGATCTCTGTGAGTTCAAGGCCAGCCTGGTCTACACAGTGAGTTCCAGGACAGCTGGGGCTACAGGGAGACCCTGCCTCAAAAAGACCACACACACACACACAAAAAAAATTTAGAGTGAGGTGGGGGTGGGGAGTAAAAGGAATGGAGTATTTAATGTGAGCCCAATAAAAAGTCAATTTTATGCATTCCACATTGCTAAAGATGGACGAGGTTCCTTATTTTTTTCCTTATTTGTCGCTTTTTTGTTGTTTTGTTTTGAGGGGTTTTGTTCTTTTGGGGTTGGTTTGCTTTATTTTTGTTTGAGGTTTTTTGGTTTGTTTATTTTTGAGGCGAAGTCTCACTATTGTAGCCCAGGCTGGCCTTGAACTCTAAACCCTCCTGCCTCAGCCTGGTATTTCGGGAATGCATCACCACACCTTGCTGATTTTTTAGTTTTGTTTTGTTGGTTTGGTTTTTGGTTTTTGTTTTTACAGTTGAAATAAGACAGTGTTTCTCAACCAGGTCACTATGAACATTTGGAATTAGATCATGATTTGGGTAGGGGGGAAGTCCTGTGCATGTGGAAATTTCCACAGTACATGTGGCCTCTCCCCACTAGGTAGATATCAATAGAACCCTGTTCCGTGGTTGTCACAACAAAAAATTCACAAAACTGTTTCCTGTTGAGAACCATTATGGATTAAGAAATCATTATCCTAAAATACTGAAAACTTGTAGTCTCAAGCCAAACATCATGTCATGTGCCATGTTATTTATAGATCCGTGTGGGTGGAAGTAGTGTCAGCGTCTTCAAGCTGTTAGGCTAGACTGGAAGACCCACACTTTCTGAATCCAGCTATTCTATTCAACAACACTTCTCTGTGAGAATTGGACAGAATTCACTGCTACCAGTGAATATAATGGTTCTGCCTTCCAGTCTGTCCCCTGCCATAGCAATGAAAGTGTCCTTTCTGCTGTCAGATGCACTAATTTCAAGATGCTCTAAATCTCTGTAGAAAGTTCTACGGAAGGTAAGTGTTAAGCCAGAACAGGCCTGACCCCTCTCTCCTCAAAGGAATCTTCTAACAAAGCTTTAGGAGATGTTAGGCTCTGTGTTGCCCAGACGCTAATACTGTCTACCACCCAGCTCAGTTGCCAAGAACCCCCAAACAATTTCCACTCTTCTCTGTTCTAAGTCTATTCTGACTTAACTTCCTTGCTCTCAACCCCTTCTTTGGCTGGTTTAGCTAACTTTATGATCTACTCCATAAAGTTAGTTGGTTGCCTGCTTTTTTAGAAACCTCTTCGGCCATTGCTAAGCTGTACCGTCTCTTTCCCCAAAGTCTCCCTCATTGAAAATTTGCATTTAATAACGGAAGTTGCCCACGTCTTAACCTCTTTCAGATATGACAATGGATGATGTTCGGGAATACGAGAAAAACATGCATGAACAAACCAACATAAAAGTTTGCAATCAGCACTCCTCTACTGTGGATGACATAGAGAGCCATGCCCAGACAAGTGTATGTAGACTATTTAAAATGCGTTGCCCACCCCATGCAAAAGAAAGATATAACCTCATCTGGCGAATTCTGAAAATGCCCCGTCCCCAGCCTTCTATGAAAATAGGACATTACCCAGAGGCTATGGGTGAAGACTGTCTTGAGTGGGCCTTGTCACCTATGTCTTCCAGATGTTTCCATTCTTTAAAGCAGGTTGACTTAGTGGCTATCCCAGTCATAAAACCCAAGACATAGAGAGTAGAAACATTTGGGGGTACCCATCAACTGGCCTACACTGACCATAAAAGAACATAAGAGTGACAGTGGGTGTCAGATGCAAACTAGATCAAGATGTCAGTAACTTCTCAGAGCATAGTCGATATTCATGCGTTCCATGGAGGTCATCGCTCATCTACTGTTTTAGGTTTCTTTACACGTGCTTTGAAAAGCTTTTTGGGGCTCCTTCAGGTTGCTTTACCCAGTTCCTTTTGATTTAGAATAATCTCAAGACTAAGCTGCAGTTTAAACACATACAGATGCCAAGCGGTAAAGGGGTGATGAGCTGGGATTTAGGGTTACTACAGAACGGATCTGGCCTGGGACTTTGCAAAGGCCTTAGAGAACCTAGGTTCTCATCAGCCTTGGTTTATTGAGAGGTGCCTGCATTGTGTATGCCAGAATTTAAATACAGTTATCTCTCAGTCAGTGGTGCTAATGAAGTACAGTTAACAAAGGAAAGCATCATCACAAAACCATGTGTGTGGGTCTTTAGCCAGAGCTCTGATCTCTCTGGATTCTAGTTTGAGCTCTTACGTCTACTAAGCCCTGGTAACATTTTGGAAACTTCTAGTTAAGTTTTTAGAGCATGTCTTTGGGCTCTGCCTTACCAAACTCATGCATGACACTGGATGCATGTAACTGCTCGTGAGGCTGACAGCACCCTGACTTTGCCTTCTGAGTGTTGCATGTTCTGATAGGATTTTGCAGAGAAACATTGGAGCAAGACTCGCCTGTAAGGTTTGCTCCAATTTTGAACAGATATTCTCCCCACCTCTTTTCCTGTTCTAAAGATAGGAATGTTCTTTAAGGAAACTGTTCTTGAATTCCCATCACTTTTGATTACCTTTTCTTTTAGGAATGTTAGACATAGTGCCCATCCACAACTTTGAAAGCTGCTGGCTATAAATATGACCAAGAAGCCATGGGGAAGGGAGAGGCTCAGGATGCCTGAAGGGCACTGAGCACAGTTCTTTCCATGGGCTATATTCTCAAAGTTTACTGCTTAAACTATGCATGGTGGCTCATGCCTGTAACCTCAGCACTTGGGAGGCTGAGACAGGAGGATTACCTTGAGTTTGAGGCCAGCCTGGGCTACAGTATGAGACCCTGTCTCAGAAAAAAAACTAAAAGCTTACAGTTTACATCTCTTTGCATGTTTTTTCTGTTTCACTCTATTATCATTAAACCAGTTTATTATGTAGGAGAAGATAAGCTAGAACAACCCCATCTTCCAGAAAGTCCCACTGAGTCCTCTGGCTACAACTCATGCTTATTGCTGATTTCAGCATAAAGGTTGGCCTCCCTCTCATACCCCCACCCCCACCCCACCCTCAAAGCTACACAAAGTGCTTATTTTGAATGCTTGTGCTATTTCCCTTTTTCTTTGGAATTCCATGAAATTGGGGATCATTTATTTTCTTCAGTCTTCTCTAAACGAAAAACAGTCAAGAGGCTATGTGCATCACAAATAAAAAATTGCATGGATGGGCCAGTGAGATGGCTGAGAGTAAAGGCATTTAAAGGCATTTGCCAAACAAACCTGGAGTTTGATCCCTGGAACCCACATAAAGGTAGAAGGAAAGAATTGACTCCACAAAATTGTCCTCTGACATCCACATGCATGTACAAATGAACACACATGCACGCACGCACACACTCGCACACACACAATTAAAATTAAACAATTAAAAATAAATTTTAAAATAGTAACAAAACTGCATGGGACCTGGGAAGGTAGCTGCACTGCACAAGCCGGGTGTGGTGGCACACTCCTGTAATCGTAGCACAGAGGAAGTGGAAGCAGGCAGATAAAAAGTTCAGTGTTATCCTCAGCTGCATAGTGAGTTGGAGGCCAGCCTGGGCTACCTGAGAACCTGTCTGGGGAAAATAAACCCTGCATGGATGCTAAAATGAAATTTAAATTATTACCCTGAATATGAATAAATTAAATTGAAGGTATGCAAATGTAACAACCACATGAACAAGACAGTAAGAAAATAACGGGTTTCAAAGCCTTCAAGAGAGATAGAAACCCAGAATCAAAATTCTGTGGGCTGGATGATTTCTGCCCCCTGCTGGATACCTTGAGTATTGCACTATTTTCTGTCACTTGTTCACAGTAATTTTTCAAACTTGCTATCCATTTGTTATAGCAAAAACATACCTATGCTTCGATTCCCTAAAATTCTTCTGCGAATCTCAATTTCATTTCCAACTAAATGTTGCTTTTAAATAGTTAATCTCTTTCTTCGTTAAAAGTGGTAAGTTTATAGGTATAATTTTTCTTGAAATAATCTGAATTTTACATTATGTCAACACAGTTGTAATTCTTTATCTCCCTTGTAAAAAATTTTCCCTTTCAGGAAATTTTGTCAGTTATTCACAAGGAAATTATCATGGATTTCATTTTATGAAAAAGAATTGTTTGTTCAGGTGTTATAAAACCCAATGGAGGGGGCTGGAGAGACGACTCAGCCGTTAAGAGCACTGGCTGCTCTTGCAAAGGACACGCATTCAATTCCCAGCACCCACGTAGTGGCTAACAACCATCTGCAACTGCACTCCCAAGGAACCAGACACTCTCTTCTGGCTTCCACAGGCATTCTACACATGGGTGGACTTACAGACACACAGGCAAAGCACTTATACACATAAAAATAAACTTTTTAAAAATCTAACCCAGTGGTGGGACTGGAGGATGTAGGTTAATGCTAGAACTCTTGTCTGGCAAGCCCTGGGTTTAATCCCCAGCACACAGAAAAACACCAAATGATTAATACTGTGTTGACAATATTCGTTCCACATTTAACATTTCTAAGGTGGCTGCATTTTTAGTGGAGCACTGTCCTTCAAGGAAGTTTTAACTAGTAATTACATGACAGAGGACCAGAAAGAGTTAAAAATGGGTGTCTGGGACGCCAGAATAAAAGTAGCAAATCCAGCCTGGTGGCCCACACCTTTAATCCCAGACAGAGGCAGGCAGATCTCTATGAGTTCCAGGCCAGCCTGGTCTACATAGCGAGTTCCAGGTCAGCTGGGGCCACAGGGAGACCCTGTCTCAAAAAGACTAAAAAATAAAAAGTAGCAAATCCATGAGCCTCACTTTACTCCAAGGCAAAACTGTCACTTGTGCCTGGCAAGTGAAAACTGGCAAAGGATGCCAGGAATCATCAGGCTGGCAGTAATTCATAACAGCAAAAACAAAGGCTGGTGAGATGGCTCAGCAGGTAAAGGTGTTTGCCTCCCAGCCTGACCACCTGAGTTCAGTGCCTGGGACCCACATGTTGGAAGGAGAGAGCCAGTTCCTGTAAGTTGTCCTCTAACCTCCACATGGGTGTCTTGGTACACGTGCTCCCACACACACACACATACATACATGAATGCATACATACATGTGCTCCCACACATACATGCATACATACATGCATGCATACATACATATATGTGATAAAAAAATTTTAAGTAGTAATAATGATAATATCACTCCATATAAACAATAGCAAGCCTTAAGGAGTAAATAGACCAAGAGACAGGAAAGGTGGCTCAGCGGTTAAGAGCACTGGCTGCTCTTGTAGAGGACCAGAGTTCAGTTCCCAGCATCCACATGGTGGCTAACATCACCCCTAACTCCAGTTCCAGGCGGGTATGCCACCCTCTTCTGGTTTCTGCAGGCATAGTAGTGCATGCCTTTAATCCCAGCAATTGGGGGGCAGAGGCAGGCCGATCTCTGTGAGTTCAAGGCCAGCCTGGTCTACATAGTGAGTTCCAGGCCAGCTGGGGCTACAGGGAGACCCTGTCTCAAAAAGACCAAAAAAGAAATAAATAAATTTTAAGCCAGGTGTGGGTAGTGTACAGCTATAATCCCAGACTTTGGGAGGTAGGAGCAGGAGGATTAGAAGTTCAAGGTCATTTTTGGCTACATGGTGAGTTTGAAGCTAACCTGGGCTATATGACACCTTTTTATATATTTGAGCCATTAAGGTGGCTCAGTAGGACAGGTGCCTGCTATCAAGCTTTAAAACCCAAGTTTTACCCCTGGAACCCCCATGGTAGAAGGAGAGAACCAACCCACAAAGCTGTCCACTGACCTCCACACTTGTCCCATGGTGTGCACCTGCACTCACACATATCATACACTCAATAATAATAACAATAAAAATTTTAACCACTATTTGGAAAATCTGCATCACTTGACACCTATACATAAGGCATTAGCTTATTTGTTGATTTCCAAACTATATTCTTTTTTCTCTTAAAGCCTCGACTATTAAATGATCCTCTCTTTTCATTCTGTTTTATTCCTTTTCTTTTAATCTGCCTTGGGGAATGGTTTCGTTTTCATGGTTTGGGGATAATTACCAGGGGTTATTGTTGAATAACAGTAGTATCTATGTGACCTTCCAAATACAGAAAGTATACTTACTGAATAAGAATGTGGAGGGATTCTGATATCTACCTGAATTCACCCTCTAGAGGTACAGTGGTTCTTTTGTGAGCTAAACTATAGTAGTATTGTCAAGGCCAGTGATTGCTTCCACTAATAGTCTCTCTATGGAGGAAATGACCAAGTATAACAATAGTGCCCACCACATACACACACACACACACACACACACACACACACACACACATTTTCCTGTAAAATTCAGGATACTTAAAATACTAATTGAAGGAGCTGGAGAGATGGCTCACAGTTAAGAGCACTTGCTGAGCAATCATGAAGACTGCACTTCTGATTCCAGAACCCACATAACAAACCCGAGCACCCTGCAAAGGAGTGTAACTCCAGCTCACAGATGGGTGGAGACAGGAGGATCACCATGCATGCGAGTTTCCAGCCTAGCTGGGAAAATGTGAGCCCTCAGTTCCAAGAGATCCTGCCTCCTGGGAATAGGCAGCCGTAACAGAAGATGACACCCACAGCCCTCTTCTGGTCTCTACACACACATGTGCATACACTCACACAGACACACACATACAAATAAATAAATCTTTTTTTTTTTTAAATTCTAATTGCGCTGTCCAGATGACTCAGCAGGTAAAGCCACCTGTTGCCCAGCCTAACAGCCTGAGTTCAATCCCCAGAACCCCCACCTGGTAGAAAGAAGGAATTGACTCCTGGACGTTATCCTCTGATCTCCACTCTCCCAACCCCCCCCCCACACACACACAAAATGAATTAAAAGTAATTTTTCAATGTTTAAATTCTAATTAAATCTTTTGGAAAATCTTGGCTATCCAATAAGAAATACTGTTTTCAGTAATGTGTCTCAGTAACAAAGGGGAAGAAAATGGGGGTTTGTTATTCCAAAGACAGTTTGGGTTTGTCATCAGTCAGGGGCCTCCTTAATGATGGAGTAGTTCCTTCACCAGGCCTAGTGAGGAATCCATTTGCTCTTCTGACCGGTAATGGCTCATTTTTCTCTCTGCTTTTCCCTTTGAAGACATGACAATGGATGAAGTCCGAGAATTCGAACGAGCCACTCAGGAAGCCACCAATAAGAAAATCGGCGTTTTCCCACCCGCCATCTCCATCTCAAGCATCTCCCTGCTGCCCTCCTCGGTGCGCAGCGCCCCATCCAGCGCCCCATCCACCCCTCTCTCCACCGACGCGCCAGAATTTCTGTCCATTCCCAAAGACCGGCCTCGGAAAAAGTCTGCTCCAGAGACTCTCACGCTTCCAGACCCTGAGAAAAAAGCCACCCTGAATTTACCTGGTGTGCACTCTTCAGATAAGCCATGTCGACCCAAACCAGAGTAACTTCATGTGACCATCCCGTGGGGTTTTATATTTTCATTTGGAGTGGTTTTTTTTTGTTTTGTTTTTTGTTTTTAAGAATCTTCTAATATAGGAAAAGACTGCCTCGTCACTCAGACACGTTCTTTGATCTCCGAGTGTGCATGTGGTTAAGTAATTTCACAAATAATAAGAATCCCCTGCATATGCCACATAGCATCATAGTAAATGTGAGACTTAGAAACAAACAGGAGGGGTTGGGGGTGGAGCTCCGTGGATAGAGTGCCTGCCTAGCATGCATGAAGCTCCAGGTCCCATCCCCAGCACTGCATAAACCAAGCATGGTGGCGCTCACCTACAGCGCCAGCACTCAGGAGGTGGAGGCAGGAGGATCAGAAGTTCAAGGCCAACCTCAGCTACATACAGTTTGAGGCCAACCTGGGCTGCATTAGCTCCTGTCAAAAAAACAAAAATAAAAATAATAAAAACAGAATCTGCTGTAGCCTCAGCTGTGGGCCAGGGAGGAAGCCTTGTTATTAGGCCCTTAATGAGGTTGGCAAGGAATTCAAGGGTAAATAGGTAAATAGATAGAAATAAGATGTAGCTTTGTTGCAAGGTGTGGTAAGATAACAAAGTCAATTTCCTCCCATCAAACCTGAAATTCTCAACAACAACAACACTCTCAGGTGCCCCATGCCTAATTGTCAATTTTAGACTGCTGACCACCAATACTTGAATTCCAGTTGTTACTAAGATTCCTATTTTGGTTAGTCTGACTCAGGATTTGGGGCCTATTTAACTCTTTAAATTTTTGAACATTTTAATTACCGACTTCTAGAGGCTCCGAGTACAATTAATGATAATGTCTTTATACCTTTACCAGAATTTAATAAAGACTCCACCTCTTTCTGTCTTTTAAAACGTCCCCCTTTCTGCCCTGGTGGCCTCAGAAATCAAGGATTTCACAGATGACTGTGACTTCTAGCTGATATACTGTGGGATGGTTTAGCGGAGAAACCAAGAGTCCCCGGTGAGACAATCATCCTTTTCTCTACAGGTGCCAACAAACCTTGGCTTGTCAGCTTCCATCATCCATTAAGAATCTAAATTAACTGAATAGAATTCACTGACTGTCTGCCCACACGAAGAGGTTGAGGGTGGACTAAGCTAATGGGCTTTACCACTATCTGAGTGTCTGGTGTATGAACCCTGCAAAAGAGAATCCTCCCCACTGGTTTTATTCTTAATAACATCTGGACTTCCCTGGAATGGGTTGCCCATCAGCAGACTTTAGAAAAGACTATCATTTCCTTGAAATTCAAATACTGGGGACTGGGGTATAGCTCAGTAGTAGAGAACTTGCCTAACTTCCCTAATACTACAAAAAGAGGAAACGGGGAATTCAGTAAATACTGCCAAGTGGGAGGAGACAGCCAGCAGAATTGTTGGTTCCTGTTTGTACACAGGAGTGGTCATCAGTGCCCCTCTGTCTTTCATTTCTGCGAGGCTGGGGGAGAATGGAAGTTAGAATCAAGGTTGACAGCTGGCAAGACCATTCATCAAAGTAGCAGAATGAGAGAAATCTGTCACTGTTGTACCTCACTGCCTTTAAACCCAGAAAGGAGGTCAAGTAGTCTCAGTGTTGAACAAGACAGAACTGGGCAACCCAAGCCCACACGCTAGCTAGCCTTCGTGACTGTGACCTCCAACCTCAGGAAAGGGAACATCCCCCAACACGGATTCCAAAGGAAACAAAATAGACCAAGGAGTGTATTCTCCTTTCCCCACACCACCCAGCCAGTGGACCCTGCTGCTTCCTCCTGAGTACTCCACACTGCAATGTCTCTGGGGTCCATACCCTCTCCCAAGGTGCAGGCCCTGGCCCCATGAACCCAGCACCAAAGTGCTTAGAGTGTCTAATCATTTCTTTATCTCTAGTTGGACATGTAGCTTAAGAGAAAAAGCACCCAGTACTCAAGGGAAAGCGATTACAAATAGCTTAGATCAACAGCGCATCTTTTCTTAAGAATGATAGTATTGTATTGTAGCAGGATGCTTTCTTTGCATGGTATGGAAGCATGAATCTTGCTCGTGGGAAAACGTAATCTTTTATCAAACCCTTTGGACTTCCCAGTGGCTCCCTCTCTGCACAGCTGTATTCAATGACAATGTTTGGCTTTAAAAAGCAAAATTCCACTTTCAGAAGATGGAGCTCCTGTATGTATCTGCTTACCATTTGCAAGCTGAATCAGGCTGGGGTGGGCTTGTTTATTTTCACATAGAACAAACTTCTTTTGTGCAGATTGTTAACCCATCTGGCACCTGGTTTTCCCATTAATACTGTGCTATTTTCCCTTTTCTACAATAGCGTCAGCAATTCAACATGCTTTAGAAAGTTACTTTCTGATTTCCGTTTTGTGAGTTGCTTTTATAGTCTGTTCAGTACTTTGGACATCAAACGCAGCGTGACCTATGGTAGTGTGATTCTTAACCAACACGTGTGTGTGCTTAAAATGTGTTCAGTTTTTCTGTCTACACGTAGTTTATGTGTGTTACAAATAAGGGAGGGGCAGGGTTCCAGATAATTGCTTTAGCTGCATTGAATATTTAATCCAGTCATCACAAAGCATAAGCTACTTCAATACTTCATAAATCTTGATTTCCGAGTATTGTTTGACTTTGTCCATACGTGGGTCTGTTTTTGTGGGATACAAGCCTGCGATGAATGTGTATATAGAACATTGAGAATTCTTAGAAGGATGGAAATGAAATGACTGCATGATGGAAATTTAGAAAGACAAAAAAAAAGATGAAACTTGAATTCGCTAAGCATGTTTGAGGGGAAAATAGAATCTTTAACTCAGTGCCTCTGTCTGCCATGTGGAAACCTTCAACTTTGTTCACCAAAATTGTATTATACCTGTATATATTTATATATATATAAAACATAGTATAATGAGTTACACACACCGCCAATTTTAAGTCTCTGGTAGCCAAATGGACGAAAGTAACCCATAGAATAGAACATGTGTTTACTCCCTCTTCATCTCTGATGTCAGTGGACACCATGACGATGACCACACGTTTTTATTTCGGGTGGCTTTTGGATAGGAAACCTCCCCTGTGCTAGTGTTGGATGTAGCACTGAATCGTTGCTTTGACTACTTTTCTGGGATAAGGAGGTCTGCATGTTCTTACTGCGTAATTTGTCAGGAATGACCTCTGAAGATCACTTCCTTTCAAGCTGTTGTAAGATTAAAGCAAAGAGAAAGAGTAACCAGGAAGCAGGCTGTGATGCATTTAGCTGCCACCATTACAGAGTAAACTGTATCCATTCATTGATAAACTGCCTTTGCATCCATGTGTGGGGAAAGTTGTTTTAACTTATTTATAGGTACATAGTAGCCATGTTTGGGAGTGTGGAAATAAATTAACTCAATTGTGGACATGGGTAATAAAGACATGGAAATTAAAACCCAGGCTGGTGAAATGGGTCAGTGGGTAAAGTCCCGTGCCACTGAGCTTTATGACCTGAGTTCAATCCCCAGGTCCCATATGGTAGGAGAGAACTGACTCCTGTAAGTTGTCTTCTGATCGCCACATGTGTGCAGCGGTATGCACACGCCCCTCCCCAATAAATTAACACATGTAATTTTTAATTTTTAAATAAAAAACAACACCAGTAACACCCCCAAAGTAATTATGTAGACTTTAATTCCAGCACTTGGAAGGCAGAGGCAGGTGAGTTTGAGGCCAGCTTGGCCTATATAGTGAGTTCCAGGCCAGCTGGGACTACATAATGAGACCCTGTCTCAAAAAGGCAATTATGTGGTTTTCTTTGAAGGCATTGTTAGAAACAGTGAGCTAAGAGACATCTTGATAAACCATTTTTCAGTGACGTTTCAGAGCGGATGTATTTGTGCATACTTTTAAATTTCACTTTCTGTAGCTCAGAGACAAGGTAATGGGTTGCTGGCTGCCTTAGATCAATAGGAATTTTATTTTTGAGAAAGGCCAGCATAAAATTGACTGTGGTTAAAATCCATAACCACATAATCCAATAGAGAGGAACTGTCTGATGGTCTCAGTATTTTTCTGACATCTGATCAGGAGGCTAGATGACAATCCACCCTGTGAGCCATAGTTCTTAACAATTCAAATCAAGAATTCCGTCCTTGCCTGTAAGTCAAAACTAGAGTGTCACACAGGAGCGCAGCATTGGGATGCTGACGTGACACACTGGATTCTTCCCTGTCCTACCTTCAAAATGATCCATTTGCATTTGATATCTAAGTGTTTAAGCTTTGTAGGAGTTCATACAGTAAGACAACGTGAATGTGTGGAGAACTTTGCCATTCTTAACTATAGTATTGTCATCCTGATTAACAAACGCTGTAGGAAAAGCCTCTCTGTGATTTGGCTTTCAAGTTGAAACTCTCTGTTGAATTGCCTGTCTCCCCCTTCACATTTTTGTGTGTCGCTGGAGAGAAAAGAGGTTCTTTTCAATTGATGTTATCTGTGTGCCACCGCTTCAAGTGTCATTGTAATGTTTACATTTTTGAGCTGAGATCTTGATTGGTTGACTTAGTCAAAACACCACTGCCACTGCTTAAAGGACCAAGAGTTGGAACACAGTGTGACGGACAACAAGCGAAGCAAGTGGAAGTTGATCCTCCCATGTCTCCCTCTGTGTCATTTTATGGCTGTACTATGTTGCCGACCGTTATTTATTATTGTTAATAACTTACTTTTCTTACATTCAGTTGTAAATAAAGTACAAAGCAATCTTCTTTCCAAGTGTGGCACTCTCTCTCTCTCACTCTCTCTCCCTCTTCCCCTCTCCCTCTCTCCCTCTTTCCCTCTCTACCTCTCTCTTAGTCTTAAATCAACACTGGCCATTGTTAACTTGAGGGTCAATGGGAAAAATAGGGAGGAGGTAGGAAGTGGCCAATTGCTACTACTTAGGCGGTACCGCCTTGTGTGCACCTGGTACCCTACGGCCAGGACCCTTGGTAGGGAAAGTCTGGGTGTCCTAATTTTCCAACCTAAAAATAACCAAAAAGACTCCATAACCCTATAGTATGCACACATAGGTCCTGTCATCCATCTCGGAGGCACATGACTGTTCTTCATGGAGTTTAAGGTCACATAGTCCAATGGAATCCTTGGGAACAACACCTAGGCAGGACACAAGACCCTTTCTGGACTGGTTAGGTCAATTTGTTTTTCCAGTCCTAGGAATAAGAACCCAGTACCTTTGGGTATGCCAGGCAAACACCCTACTGAGCTATATCCCTAGCAGGATTGTTTGCTTGCTTGCTTGTTTTTTGAAACAGAATCTTACTATGTAGCCTTGGCTGGCCTGGAACTCACTGAGAACCACCTGCCTCTGCCTCCTGAGTGCTGGGATTAAAGGCATGCACTACCATGCCAGGCCCAACAAATATATTACCCCTGCTTCCTTAGTCTCTGTGGAGCTTAAACAGAAATGCACCCTAATTCCATCTTCTAGTTAGTCCTGAGAGCAATGTTACAGTCTTGGGCTAGCTAGATAGCTCAGTGGGTAAAAGTGCTTACTGCCAAAACTCACCAACCTGAATTTGATCCCCAGAGTTTGATCCCCTAGGTTCAATCTCCAGGACCCACATGGTAGGAGATAACTGACTCACAGAAGTTGTCCTCTGACCCCTATACATGCTCCATTTCACACATGCGTGCGCACACACACACACACACACACACACACAAAATAAATGTAATTTTAAGTTTATTTTATGTGTATGAGTGTTTTGCCTGTATGTATGTAAATACATCACATGCATGTGATGCCCTTGGAGGCCAGAAGATGGCATTAGATCCCCAGGAACTGGAGTTATAGACAGTTAACTGTCATATGGGTGCTGGGAACTAAACCTGGGTCTTCTGCAAGAGCAACCAGTGCTCTTAAACACTGAGCCACCTCTTCAACCAAATAAATGCAATTTTAAGAAAGAGAAGTGTCATAGTCTGACAAGCATATAGCTTCCTATACTGAAAATTTCCCTAAGTTGTACTTCAAGTCAATGAGCTAAAACATGTTTGTTTTTGAAGTTTCAACTGCTCCACTACCACCCCCACCCTGCCTTTTAATTCTGTATTCAAAATACACAAACTTCCCACACATAGCTGCTGGCTGGCTTTCAGCCTGCAATCTTGGGCAGAGGCTGGCTGGATATTTACTCCTGGGACTGACTATATGGGGTCGTTAAATATTTGTATACTTAATGTTCAACATATAGATGCGTGGAACACCCTGGAGTTCCTCAGTAGAGTTTTGCATCAAAGCATTTTCCTACTGGAGTATAACCTTAGACCTCCCAGCACCCATGTGCTCTTTCTTCTAAGGTATCCTCATCCATCATTACCTAAGTTCTTTTCCCCAAAGAGCTTCACGCCTCTGACCTCCAACTGCACCTTGGCCTCAAGTTCGGGATGAATCTTATGTCCCTTCTCCAAGCCTCTTCTTGAAATATTCTTACATGAAAACATTGTGAGCCCCAAGGCTTTGACAGCTTTGCAACAACAGTGTGCATCTGCACTGGGGAAGTGGAGGCGGGGAAGTGGAGGCGGGGGATGGGATGGGAGGGTGGGAAGGGGGAGGGGGTGTCCAGGCAAGCCCTGTTTTCAAAGATACAGATGATTGACCTTGTCTGCCAGGTGACTTGCCTTCTGACTTTCCATCTACCCATAAGCTCTCGCTCTCTCTCTCTCTCTCTCTCTCTCTCTCTCTCTCTTCTATCGTGTGCAACTTAGTAGACTGTCTCATTCAAATCCAAAGATTTAACTACTTTTCTGTTCCTGGGAAAGCTGGGAACCAGAAGGTACTTTAAATACTTTTACTTTGTTCCCAGCATTTGCGCCTAATAAAAGAAGGAGGAAGAAGAGGAGGAGGGGGTGGGGCTGGGGATATAGCTCAGTTGATAGAGTACTTACCTAGCTAGCATATACAAACCCTGGGTTCAGTCCCTAGCACCACAGAAACCAAGTGTGGTGGTGTACACCTGTAATCCCATCACTGGGGACATGAAGGCAGGAGGATTGGAGAGTTCAGCCTTGGCCACATAGCCAGTCCGAAGCCAACCTGGACTATATGAGACTCTATCTCAAACAACAACAACAACAACAAAAGAAAAACAGGAACTTCCTGAATCTAGTCATTCTGTGCAGGAACGTTAATGGGATTTAAAGGATAAATTTGTTTCACTATAAATAGCAACTATGGGACCAGCAAGACGGCTCAGTGGGTAAAAAGGTGCTTGCCACCAAGCCTGACAGTCTGAATTTGATCTCGGGAACCCACATGGTAGGAGAGAAAGGACTCCTACAAGTTGTCCTCTAACCTCCACACTCATGCCGTAGTGCACATGTGCCCACACATAAATATTCTCTAATATCAGTTATGTGCATTGAAGGCAGACACAAAAAACGGGATTGTCACTTCTGCTCCTTTAACCTAATAAAGCTCTTTTCTCCAGATGTCCAGTTGGTTGGCATGGATATATTTGTGCATCTTCTCCCACAGCTCCACCCTGAGTACTCCTGGTACAACTCCCTTCATCGCTGGGCTTTGAAGCCAGTTTGATAAACTCCCTTGTTCTAGAAACTCTAGGGGGCTGCCCAAGCAGGGAGTCTCAGTTCCTCAAACTGGCTATAGCTGAGAATGACCTCGAATTCCTGATGATCCTCCGGTCTCAACCTCCCCAGTGCTGAGATTACAGTCATGTACCATCATGTCTAGTTTTATACAGTTGCTGGGGGTCAAGCCAGGGCTTGGTGCATGTCAGGCAAGCTCTTTAGCAACTGAGCTACATCCCCAGCTCTGCAAATCTTTCTCTCAGAAAGCACAGCTGGGGTTAGAAGTTTATAGTTGGGAACTTCCACTGTCTAGGCAGCTGTTAGATGAGACTGCGTTATTTAACTTGTTTCCAACTCTGCCTTCGGGCTTCGTCCTTGACCTGGTCCTCAGATTTTCTCACTGGGTCTTTGCCTTTTTTGCCTGACTTTCCGGCATCCTTATTCTTCTTGTTCCCTTCGGACAGCATTTTCACACCCAGGGAACAGCACCCACTGCAGCTCTGATTAGACTCTGGCTGGATGGACCGCCTTAAACTTAATGATGAGTGTTTTGGCCACTGTCACTGGAAGGGGGTTGAGAGCAGCCAAATCTGGATGATTCATAAAATTTTATCCCAAAATAACTTTCCCACTCCCAAGGGATTGTCCCCTGCAAGATGCTGGCAGCTGACGGCTCACTAGCAACCCTTGAGAATGGAGCTGAGCCCTTCAGCACACAATTGTTCCTATTCTGAGAGCATTCCAAAGATAGCTCGACACTCCAGGGTGCACAATGCAGATAAAATCTCTCTTCAGGGCCAAAAGTCTCTTCTCCAAGCTCCTCTTGGAAACTCTGAAAGATTTCCACAAGTTTGAATTTTCCCACCATCATCTCAAAATTACTCTGTTTCTTTGCATTTTGTGATAATCTATTATAGAAGTCTGTGCTGGATAGCTTTAGTATCAACTTGACACACCTGGGTTGAGGGATACTCAATTGGGCAATTGCCTTCATTGGACTGGCCTGTGGCCATGTCCATGGGGCACCTTCTTGACTGTTGAAGTGATGTGGGAGGGCCCAGCCCACTGTGGGTGGTGCCACCTGTGGGCAGCTGGGCCTGTGTTGCATAAGAAAGAAGGCTGAGCAGGGGCCAGGGGAGCAAGCCACTAAGCAGCATTCCTCCATGGCCTGTGCTCCAGATCCTGCCTCCAGGTTCCTGCCCTGAGTTCCTACCTTGGGCTCCCTGATGAACTGTGACCCAGGATATGTAAGCTAAACAAACCCTTTCCTCCCCAAGTGGTTAGAGTGTTTTGTCACAGCAGTGAAGAAACAAACTAGGACAAAGTCCAAGGAAGTGACATTTCACCTTTGTTAGATATTTAGATTTTAAAGATTTTTTATTTGTGTGTGTGTGTGTATACAAGTAGGTGCCAGAAGAGGGGGTCGGATCCCCTGGAGCTGGAGTTATAGAGGGATGTGAACTACCTGATGCAGGTGCTGGGAACCAAACTAGGGTCCTCTGCAACTGTAACAAGTACTCTTAACTGCTGTTAAGGACTCTCCTGTATTTATTTATTTATTTACTTATTTATTTATTTATTTATTTTTATGTATATGAGTGTATTGCCTGCATATATGTAAGTGCACCTGTGCGTGCAATGCCCATGGAAACCAGAAGAAGGTATACAAGTCCCTGGAACTGGAGTTACAGATAGCTGTTATCCACCACGTGGGTGCTGGGAACTGAACCCAGGTCCTCTGCAAGAACATCCAGTGCTTTTAACTGATAAGTCATCTTTCCAGCCCCACTTTTTTTTTTTTTTGAGACTGAAGATACCACTCTGTGACGATGCACTTGCCTAGCATGGATCAGGCCCTGGGTTCAATCTCCACTCCCCTTGATAAAGAATTTTCTATTTCTTCTAGAGACCATAGCTTCTAAAATGTTCATCTTTCTGTAAAGTGCGTCAAGGATATTGAGTTGTTTTATAAAAACACATTTGTACATGGCATGCTTAACAATTTTTACATCTGGGCTGGGCGTGGTGGCACATGCCTTTAATCCCAGCACTCAGGAGGCAGAGGCAAGCGGATCTCTGTGAGTTCAAAGCCAGCCTGGTCTACATAATGAGTTCCAGGCCAGCTGGGGATACAGGGAGACTCTGTCTCAAAAAAATCGAAAAAAAATTTTTTTACCATTAAA